CCCCCCCCCCCCCCACATAATACCCCAGTGTTGGGGGGCGGATTTTTCATTTCATAAACCTTATGTATTTTCCCGTGTACTTCTTTTTATTCAAACAAATTACAATGTTTTAGGTTTTTTGTGCCTCAGCTTCACATGGATGTTTTCCATCAAAACAGAACAATCAGATGGAACCCTTAACTCCTATGCAGCCCCTACCACCCCTAATGTTCCCTGCATTTGCCCCCCTACCACCCCTAGGATCTGGTACCGGGGTGGCGACAGGAGGGGCAGGCAATGGCCCCTCAATGAGCTGTGCTCAGAGCTGTGAGAACGGAGTCTGCTATAACGAGTGCACTGTTTGCAAAAACGGGAAATGTAAAACTACAAGAACAAAAAATTAGTTTAATTAATTCTGTATAATAAAGCTCTTTTCACATATATATTTATTTATTAATTTTAGTATCATGCACATTGCTGGCCAAACGGCTGGACCTAATCGACTAAACAAATTTGAGAGAACCTAATCGCGGGTAAACTGCGAGAATAACTATGACTTGAATAATAATATAAACCTGGGCTGCATCAGACATCTAAACATAGTATGTTATAAACATAGATTAATCAAAGATAACGGAAAGGACACTAAGATGTCGTCTTTTTAAGATTCAGGGGTTTTTCGTTCACAATAACCCTGAGGCAGAAGCCCAAAGGAGTTCCGCGCAGGCAGGGTATGCTCTCTCGCTGTACTGTAATTCAACGCTGCCTGTTGATTAATCTATGGTTATAAAGTTTCCCTTCCATATTTTAATATGTTTCTGAATGTCGTCTTAGTTCGACTTCTTGTAAAAAAAATCAATGTTCAAGTTAATTGTTCTAAAGTATGAAGACACATTTTTTAATATAAATAAACCTATCAAAATAAGAGTTTTATTGTATATTTTTTTGCATTACCTATCTTAATTGTACAATATGAAAAGTGTCAGATAGAAGAAATTCCCACCTAAAGGTCATTAAAGACAAAAAACCTTACTATTGGTTAATAAATAGTATGTAGGTATAATTTACACTTTTGTAATTTTTACACCATCATTTTTTTTTGACGAAATTGAATGATCTTACAAAGGGTGAAACAAATTAACAGCTAATGTTTAAAAAAGGATAAAACAGAGTTAAAAAAAGAAAGTGGCGACATACAAAGCATTATTGATTTTAAAATTTAATTATAGCAAATTTGATTTCGCAAACTTTCGCATTTTTTCGCGAAATAAATAAAGCGAAAACTTAGCAAAATTTGCGAAAATTTCGCGAACTGTCTTATGTCTCCTAGTCGTTCCTAAATCTATATTTATATTTTGTGTCAATTCATCAATTGGGCTCGGATTTTTTTCGCAAAATTTTCACATTATTTTTTTATACAAAATTTTCGCATTATTTTTTGCGATAAAGATTTTAGCGAAATTTCTTGAAAATCTCCGCATTTTTTACAAGCGAAAGGAATATGAAAATGAAGCGAAATGGTCGCAAAAAAAAAAATCGCGTAACGATTTTTCCTTTCTGCTGAAAACCCTAGTTCAGACTTTTTGACATTCATTGGTGACAGACGAGCCGAATGTTTACATTGATAGCACAATAGGTCAATACTCTGTGAGATGTATATCATTATCTTTGATATGAGGGCCTAAGTAAAATTAAAGAACAAATAAGATTGTCATTATACAGTTGTTAGTTTTAATACAAAGTGAAATATTTAGATTAAATAATTTTGAACTAAGGAGAATCAATAAATATCTTAAAAGCGATTTTGTAATTTTATCAAGTTATGTGCTTTTAGTAATTTGTGTAGTTATCTCATGTCAACTGTAGTCTTTTATAGTCATTGGTTGTCAACTGTATTCTCAAGATTCCTCTCAATGGGGCTTTAGGGCTTACAACTCTTACAAGGGACGCAGTTATGGGTTTCCTTAATGCCACTTAACTCGGAAAGAGTATAATAGAAGGAACGCAGGGAGCAATCTCCCATACCCTTCCTCCTGCAAACCTCTTTATCTCTCTCCTACTTGCTCCACAACTCGATGTCAAAAGAACTGTTTGGAAAGGCATCAAAGTATAGAAACAAGATAAACAAGAAGAAAGAAGAAAATATCGAAGAGGAAAGTTAGAAGGAATGTAAAGCTTTACACTCTCTTTTTTCCAATAGTGAATGAAGACAAACACAGAATTGGAGATGCCCCCCCCCCCTCTATGTTTTTTACTCAAAATGAAATACTCTAGAGAGTGTGTAGAAGAAGCTGACTCAAGTAATAATAGTTCTTTCTTGTAAAGTGGCAAACTACAAGGACATAAAAAATCTTTTTTTTTAAATTATCCGAAATATGATTGAAAGATGTACAAACAAGAAGAAAATGAGGAACAAGAAATATAGAAATCTCAAAATATTTCCATTTGATATCATATAAATATTTGAAAATATTGTAAACTTCATTAAAATAAATTATTTTAGTTAAAAAGATATCTGTTCTCAACTAAAGTCTTTTGTAGATATCTTTTGTCAGCCATGTAGTCTTTTGTAGTTATATGTTGTCAACTGTAGTCTTTTGTAGTAAGCTGTTGTAAACTCATATTCATAAACCCTGGAGTAAGAAAATAAAAAAGTTTGGGCTGTTTTGGTTTAGCCGTTGAGACATTCATTGAATTCAAACAAGCAAGTCAAGTCAAATATATTTGAAAAATAATTTTATCCTTTAAATACAGCTTCATGGCTGAGGCCATTTTTTTGTACATCATAAAAAGATTAATAATAACAATTTACACAAATTTTAGTATAATCGGATTTTAAAAATTTATCAACGCGATCTTTTCCGATTTGGTCCCAATTGTTTCATTCGTTTGGAAGTTTTATTGATTAATGCATATACAATTCTACAGGCAGACAAGCCAAATTCAAATAAAGTTATCTGTGTTGATCAATAGTCTTTTTTTGTCAAACATTAAGTTACACCCACGGATCCCGCAGTGTTTTAAAGGTTGCAAGCTCAAAATCAATAAGAGTTTTGCCTACTAATTCTTTTATCTATAGCTCAAAAAAAAATATTTTAAAATTATAATGACTACAAAAAAAGTTAAGTGAGCTGGTGAGTGAAAAGTAGACTAAAATGAATGAATAAAACTTGAATTTTAGTTTTAACCAAATAGATTATCAAGTATAATAGGTGGCAACAGAGAAATGGACCAATCAAACATGTCTCAAGTGTCAAATATAACAAGGAAAACGAAACTTTCTCACATTAGTTGACATGTTTTCTAGTATTAAATAAAAAATATAAAAACAGGAAATAAAGAATGCATACAATTGGACTTATTTTACTGTAGGATAAGCGCTTTATTTTAAAATTATCACTATTATTAATAAGTTTGTCGGACACAAAAACTGAATTGACACTTGTGAGGTCAGAATACAGCTGTACTGAGAGTGCACAAATTCTAAGCTGTCATCTATTATACTAGAATCTATTTGGATTTAACCATATATGATTTCTAGAAAAATGATTTTTCCAGTATCTTCTCTTATTTTTGCTGCAAATCTGGCCTCTTGTAGCATGGTAATTATTAAAATATGAAAATGCTCAGCGAAATTTAAAAACAAACAAATTCGTTTTTATCTTAAGAATTTAACAATAACTCTTAGTATTTTATTAACATGTATTTTAGGGATCTGTTGCTGCTCAATCAACTGTTGTACTTCTCGGGGGAAGCATTGGTAAGCTTTTTTAATAATTGGGATACAGCACTCCAGACAAGATCCATTCGGTTTTTTTCTATATCACAATCACAAGTTGGTCTATTTTTCAACAATTTTCAAACTTATGGAGTTGTCTCTTTATACTGAGCTGAAAACTTTAGAATGAGATATCCTTAGTCACGATCGCTTAATCTGATTATCCAATGTACACACTTTTGATTTTCTTCTTATAATCTACTTTTTGGATATTTCTACTGTGTAAAAGTTACGTTTAATAACAATTACAAATACAATGCTATATCGATTGAACTAACATCCAATCGAGTTAAAGTCAGCTGTTCACAAGTCGGCTTTTAGAGCAAAAAACAAATATAAATTTAATCATGTTAATATGAAAAAACTTATTTTAGGACTATTGTCATTTCATTCTTAGATATCGAATGCGTTTGAAAATAATCTTGGGTTTAGTAAAACAGGAGTTTAAGCGTTAATCTTGATATTTACCATTCTAAAGTTTTCAGCTCTGTTTCGTTTGAAAAAATTCCAACAAAAAAATGCCAACGAAATTATGTTTAATAGGTTAAATTGTGATTGAAAGTCACAGTTCTCTGGGAGACCAGACCATTACATTAACGTGACATTTCTATATCAATTTAAAAATAAATTGTTTTCTTCGCTTCTCATTGTTAACACTGTAAATATGCATGTGCTGTCTTATTCTATAATTTGTTTAGATGTGTTTATATTTGGATGATTATTAATGATTAAATAAATAATAAACAGTTAATTTAGACACTTTAAAAAAATTAAGAATAAAAAGATTTTTTCTATTTTTGTGGCAAAGACTCAATTCCTTCGTTGTGGACAGTGGTATCTCCAGGGAATAAATTTTTATTTTTTTTTTCATTTGTTTCTATAAAAAAGTGGGGGAATGAAAGTGATCTGAAATTATAGTATTGATAAATATTGCCATCTAATATGTTGGATAAACACACTACATCTCTCTATATTGTTTAGAAAATGGAGTAACTGAATCGCATCCCTGTGATATGGCTATAGGGGATATTGGTTATCTACCAGGACTAGGTAATTATACTATCAGATTTACAATCTAAATATTAAAACTTTTAAAGAAAGTTAAAAAAAACTTTCAAGCAGTTCCAAATTTTAAATTATGAATTGTTATCTGTTTCACAAATGTTTTTTCATCTAAAATTTGTTTTTTCACATATGTAAATTTCTTATTTTAAGGGTTGATCATGATTTCAAAAAAGGTCATTTTCTGGCCAGGAATTTTAAACAACATTTTTACATTTTTCATTTAAATTACAAAATTTAAAGGCAATTTTTTTAAAGAAGTCTATGAAAATCGCCCTATGGAGTATGCGGCACACAGATCTAAAGTAAGGTTATGTTAAAAGATGGGTGGGAAGGAGGTAAACCCCATTTTCAGACTCCCAAGACTCCCCTAAGAAGTAATGCTACAACCATCTGATGGAAATGCCTCGCCTGGTAGAGTAGCAGAGGAGCATCTAATGGACGAGTTCTGTGAAGATCTCACCAATCTAAGGAGTCAGAGGCATGATGACAACTCATCTAATGGTTCAACAGTAAATACACCAGCCAACAGCAAACAGAGTTCAACAGTAATTCAACCAGACAGCAGCAGACAAAGTAATATACCAGAGACCTGGCAGAGAACCAAGAAGAAGAATCAGAAGATGATAATGAGATGTACCAGTCTTTTAATAGAACAATCAATCAATCAGACAACAGTGAAATTAGTTCCCCTGAGCACAGCGTCCACCTCGACGGAATAGCTCAAGATTTAATTACAAATATTTTGCAAAAAACAATGGCTGAAGATCAGTTTACCTCAGCAGCCTCAGCAGCCTCTCAAAAGTCAGAACAAGAAATAGAGGCTGACCCGGAATGCAGAACAGAGGCTGAACCAGAAAAGAAACATGTCCAGAATAAAGTGGTGGAATTAGAGATTACAGAACCCACAGCATCAAGAACAACATCTACAACCAGATCATCAGGAAGATTATTGTAACAATGTTGTGATTTTGTTGATCTTTTACGATCAGCGATTCAAGGGATCTTAAGATCGCTGAGATCATAGTTATCTAGGGGTATCATGCCCCCCCCCCCCCACCCCTTATGCAGACTTTGGAATTATAACAGTTTTAGTTGTGTTTACATGAAAATTCTAACAAGCTAACAGATCTAAAAATAACCCAAGTGACACCGTTGTTCCGTTATCTCGGAGGGCTGGGTGCAGGAGAGCTGGCCTGATCGGCCTGGGGAGCTAGGGTTAATATCCAGGCTAGGGTGGAGCAAAGCTTGGGGGAAAAGAGTTAGTTCGACACAAACCCTTTTGATGAGAAGACGGGGGATTTTCTAAGCATACTTCCACCGTCAACAATTATTCATTTTTCATTGATCGTATAGTATTTTCTCATTTTATTAGTGTTCGTATAAAATAATAATAATAAATTGTAATACCGTCTCGCTGAATACAGGGTGGAGAGCTGATGTAGCTCTCTTCGTCACGGAGTGCCCTGGATGTCTACACAGAAAAGAGGTAAACCTGAAAAAGTAGATCCACATGACGGACGAGCAATCAACTTAAATGAAGTAATTTGCGTTGATCTGGTAGGTCCAATTTCTATTTCAAATAATAAAAATAAATATATCCTCTCTATTATGGACCAATTTTCTATATATGTTGCAGCCCTGCCTCTACCAGACAAGTCAGCTCGGTCAGTTGTGAACGCGATTGTGACCAACTGGATTAGCCTGTACGGAGCACCTGCAACAATTAGGATGGATCAAGGAAAAGAATTTGATAATAATTTGTTAAAAAATCTTCTCAATGCTTTAGATGTTAACGTTAAAATCGGTTTTAGCCACAATCATCAATCTAACCCTGTTGAGAGATTTCATAGAACTTTGTGGGCACTTTTGAAAGCAAAGAAGGCAAATGGGGAAAATGACTGGGAAAAATCCCTCCCAATTTTGATTTTGGCTTATAATGCAACCAAACATTATTCCACTGATTCCTCCCCCGCCAGAATTTTTCTTGGAAGAGAATTAAATATTCCTCATTTGTCTTTGTTGCCGAAATTTGTTCAAAATAATAACCCCTCCCCCCACTCAGTTGAAGAACAATTAGATTACATCCTTGATCTCATGAGAGCTTCAGACAATGTTAGAATCAGGAGACAATTCCGGTCTTATGAGAAACCACAGGATGAAATATGTGTAGGGGACCACATATACTGTGCCGCCCTACCACCCCAAGGAAACTCAAGGAAGTTACAATTACAATAGAGTGGGCTGGTGATGGTTAAGGAAATCATCAATAATGCGATGATTATGGTGCAAGAGTATGAAGTGAAGAATCCACGGACCTACGTCGCCCATTGTTCCAAAGTTCATCTGGCAAAGAAAATGGGACAGAAGGATGTTAACCCCCTATTCAAACTTCCCAGACTAACAGCTGAAGCGATTAGAGATTTAGCAGAAGAGTTGTCACAATTTGAGCTTCCAGCAAGGCAACTCGATGCTGACCTTGTTGATGAATTTCATTCTCACGATTCTGAAATTCATCACCGGGGGAGGGATCACCGCAGCAGCATCTCGTCGGAACCCCCTGTAATTCCTCAGAATTTGTCAGGCTCAAGCATTGCAGCAAGTTCAGAAGACAGTGAAAATGTCCAGTTCCAGTCATTTATCCAGTCACTGGGCTCAATTCGGTCCAACGTTAGCAGTCCTGAAGAATCTTTTAACGAGCATTTCCAAGTAGAAGATGAACTGCTAGATGAGATGCTACGAGACTCACCAGCAGAAGATGACGGAGTAACGGGGTTGGCAGCCAACCTAGCCCCAGAGCCAGAACCTGAAAAAACTCCAGAACCAAGAAGACCAGAGAATGAAGACAATAATGAACCAAGGGAGGGGGATGTTGAACCTACAGAAATAAACACCCCTGCCAGAGAACAAGAAGAACGAGATACTAGAGAAGGAAGGGAAATACCAGGAGAAACAAATACCCCTTCACCCCAAACTGCTCAGGCAGCAAAGTCCAATGATAATGATGAAGAGTTGAGGCCGTTAGATGGCAGCACCATTACAGAAACAACCAGGAGAAGATCCGGCAGAAGATCAATCCCTACAGATAGATACAGCGCAGAGTTCAAGCTACCAGAGAACCCCAGATCAAAGAGAGGAGCAAAGTCATCAATAGCACCATCCCTGAAGTCACTGAAAGCAGCACTCAAGGAGAGTTGGGCACAGAGGCCAGACTCCACAGCACCGTTGAGAAGAAGAAGCAGATCAAGAGAGAGTTCTAGTTCCACCAGGACAAGAGCTGCATCCCTGGAATGGATGCAGACAGGGAGTATCAAAAATAGTGGTAGCATAAGGAGTAGTGTCAGGACTAAGTATAGAGTAGCAAATCAGAGTAGTTATGTACAAGGAGCAGATGAGAGTAGTTGGAGTGACACAGAGGATGAAGCAGATAGAAGTAGCAATAAAGTTAAGGAAGGAATTAATACAATTTCAGGTCAAAAATCTAAAATTGCAAAAGTGAAAAATTCTGTAACACTTCACCCTGGCAAGGGGCATGGGTTTACTTAGTTGAAGAACCTGGGCAAGTCAGTGGGGATGATTTCATTTTTCCAATCTTGTTTAACACTATTGTTGAGAAAAATCTTTTTGCTTCAAAATTTTCCCCTAGGGCAGTAGTGTTACGTTCACCTGCAATTTACATGATTAACCATAATAATGATATCTTTGTTCAGATGAAGAAGGGAGAGAGCGTAGGGAAGCTGGTCAACCTGATGGTGAGGTACAAGAATGGGCGGATCAGCACCAGAGAAGGAGGAGTACGAGAATAAACCAGTTGCTCTTCGTGGGCATGCTGGCAGTACTAGTAGGGCAGGCCAGCGCGGAGGACATCCTCCCAGGGCTAGCCCAGGACAGCACACAAGGCTCCAGTAAACAGAGGTTCACGGAAGAGGAGACAGAGTGGAGTCTGCAAGGAGGCTATGGTTATTTTTTAACAACAACCATAGCCCCAACCCTGTACGTCCTCAGCCAAGCTATGGCTGGGGCCGGAGCAGTTGTAGCTCTGACTTCCACTCGCTGGGTAGTAAAGACATTATTTCGACTCAGCAAGACTGGCTCTAAAAGCTCAAGAATACAGCACGGATAGTTCTCCGCTAAACCTTACACCCTGGAGAAAGATGGATAAAAGACGCTTCAAGAGTGCAAAAGTCTCATCTTATCGTGAGAAAGTGATCGACAAGATCTCTGATCATAAAAGATCAAGGAAGGGATGTAACAATGTTGTGATTTTGTTGATCTTTTACAATCAGCGATTCAAGGGATCTTAAGATCGCTGAGATCATAGTTATCTAGGGGTATCATGCCCNAACGGTTTTAGTTGTGTTTACATGAAAATTCTAACAAGCTAACAGATCTAAAAATAACCCAAGTGACACCGTTGTTCCGTTATCTCGGAGGGCTGGGTGCAGGAGAGCTGGCCTGATCGGCCTGGGGAGCTAGGGTTAATATCCAGGCTAGGGTGGAGCGAAGCTTGGGGGAAAAGAGTTAGTTCGACACGAACCCTTTTGATGAGAAGACGGGGGATTTTCTAAGCATACTTCCACCGTCAACAATTATTCATTTTTCATTGATCGTATAGTATTTTCTCATTTTATTAGTGTTCGTATAAAATAATAATAATAAATTGTAAAACCGTCTCGCTGAATATTTGATAATATGAGTTGTTTCCCTGAACTTTTAGCATATACTAGATTATCAGGTTGTAAGATTATCAGGAAAACTTTTGTAAGATAGCATTATGCTGAAATGAAATTTAAGTAATTAGGTACTGAATTCATGACTAGTAATAATATTTTTTTATTTTCGCGATCTCTCATTTGCGAAGACCTCTGGTTGATAAGAAATAAGATAAGTTTGTTTCGAATAGTGATTAAAAAAAATATATATTGGTTTAATGTTACAGGAGCTGCAGTTTTGAACGAAAAAATAGTTTACTGCGGGGGAACTGATGGTGGTATGATATAAACCTTAGGAGTTGACACTTCGTTTAATTACATTAGTTCACTAGCTAAAGTACCCGGCGTTGCTTGTGAATTTATGAGAAAAAATATCTAATTTTTTTAGCCTCCAGACAATCTCACATATATGAATACATAGAAAGAGAGCATGAAAAGTCGTCGTGAAATTAATTTAAAAATCGATGACAGTTGTAAAGCTTCATCATTGGTCTGCACGAAAAGAAAGCTGCTGATATGTTCGCAGCTTCAAAGGGTTGAGTACGATTTTTTGAAAATATATCCAAATATCATTATAGAATGTAGAGTCATAAGTTTTTTATTGTCTTTTTTGCGATAACTCAAAAAATATTTGAGCTAGGAGGTTCAAATTTTCTGAGTTTTCCATTTAACACATTACTTAAGGCTAAAAGCTGGGCTTTTATACCTACTGCCTCAGTCCTAAGACATACTGCCTAAATATGCCTTATTTTACCTATACCAGACTAAATCTATATTTAGACCTACTTTCAGACATTGGGTTTCATTATTGTATAGCTCTTTGGAGACTCTATAACAACCAGCAACCAGATTGTACAATTTTTGCAAAGAAATTTTAAGCATGTTTTTGCACAGACATCCTTAAAGTGAATTTGCACATTTTCAGTTTTTCTTGAATACACATTTAATGTTTTAACAATTTTAAAAATGTTTTTGCAGATTTAAATTTGTTGGGTCAAGGGTTTTTCAAAAATGTATAATTTGTTGCATTTGAGCAATTTATTTTGCCCAATTTTTGTTTTATAACTAGATTTCGCAATAAATATTTGGATTTTTGCAACTATGCCATTTTTTGCTGATTATTTAAGTAGAGCCCAAATGCTTCTCAAAAACGTATCAAATGTCATAGATTTGAATCACAATAAGAAAATAGAGGGGGGGGTCAGGTTGACCCCCCCCCCTGAACTAATCATGAAACCAGACGTCAGGGTAAATAGAGTTAACCATGTTTAGAATACGACATTATAGAAAAACTCTTGCTATGTATTTATATATATGGGATTCACTATGTTACCCCAAGAATACTCAAAGAAATTCAGCCAATTCGGTCCAGCCGTTTGACTAGCTATAGCTGACATATATAAAAATAAATATACATATCTTTTTTTACATATATGTTAGCTATAGGTATTCCGGGGTAACATTTTAAAATTCGAGTTTTTAAAAAAATTCCACGGGCAAAGCCGGGCACTTAAGCTAGTGTTTTAATAAGCCGAGAACTAAAAATTTAATCAATAAGTTTGTAATAATAATAAACTAAGTGAGCTCCTAACTATGTCATACCTTAAACAATAGGAGTTCCGCAGAGGTAAAGTTCTTAAGAATCAAATATTATAAAAAGTAAACTTTTAGAAAAAAACATTTATCCATTACTTATATTTTCTGTTCAGTAAATGCTATCAGAATGAGGGGATGGACTGGGTTGAGATTGAAGGTATGAACGTGGCCAGAGCATACTATACGTTTACTACTGTAGGAGACAAGATACTTGCTGCAGGAGGAACATCTTTGGAGGGGTAACCTTTTTTTAATTTTTAGAGCGAGAAAAAAAAATCGATGAAAAAAATAATCAGCACTATGTTTGAATCTTTAAAAAGACTGTTTTAGTTTTACATGTATCTTTGATGAGATATCTAAATATGATTTCTTTGTAAAACATATTGCTTCTTGTATACAATTAAGTGTTTGTTTCACGACGCAGACACAGAAATATGCCCCTTTAGTAAAAGTAAATTCAACCTATATGAAACATAAAGTCTGACCGCGTCAACCTTGTTGCACCGGCTATAGTCCTGTCCATAGAGCTAGGTACAGTACAAACTGGGACCGGAAAGGTTGACCCGGCTCGAAAATTCAAATGTACTACGGCTGCCCGGTCAGAGTAAAAAATTTAACATAATACAGGGTTACCTTCATGAGGATAAGACTTTAGAGAGGACTGTACGAAATTATTAAAGTCTTTTTTCTTCGACTCAGGGTAAAATTTTTTCTTTCTTCGCCAGATTATTTATTATACATTAAAAACCTTTATTCTAGAGCAAAAACTAAATTTAACCTTTAAATCGTCACATTTGAAGACTGTTAGATCGTTGTTAAATGCTTATCCTTTGTGGGTAACTCTGTATATAATTCAAAATTCAAAACATCAAGATTTTTCTACACAATGGATATATTTGAAAGTTCTTTTATTTTGCAACCCTAAAAAGCTGGAAGGGCGTATTGCGCCCCCCCCCCCCTCCATTAGTCATTTTGCTTTACCACTCTTAACAATTTTGATACTTTAGATCTTGACTAACAATTATTGACTTTGAAGAAAACGTAATTCAAAATATTTTGTCCTAAAGCTTTTTTTGAATGCTATAGAATTTAAAACTTTTGAAAAAAAATAGAAATGAAAGGAGGGAGGTATGGAGGTATGGAGGTATAGAGGTTTGGAGGTATGGAGGTATAGAGGTTTGGAGGTATGGAGGTATGGAGGTATGGAGGTATGGAGGTATGGAGGTATGGAGGTATGGAGGTATGGAGATATATAGCATACTTAGATTATTTTGAACAGATTGACTTCTACTATGGAGGTCTTTGATGGTTCCTGGAGCACTCTAGACTTTGGTTTGACATCTGCTAGAGCAAGATACTGTGCTGTTCCACTCAGGTTTATCTTTGGGATATTAATACATTTTCTCACAGCATTGAGTTCTTAAACCCCATTTATGATTAGGAAGGGGGGGGTTATTTAAGCCCCACCCCCTTGTGTGTGTGTTTTTACATTTAACACACCAAGCTTAAAATTGTAAACGATTTACGATCATGAGTTCTCAGACGTACAGCCTGCCATTCAAAATCTTAGTTGTCTTTTTGAGAAGAAACGAAATTTTGCGTGAATGATGGTGTCGTTTTAAAAAAAATGATGAAAAACGATTTGGATCATTCAGAGAATTAAATAAGAAAAATAACATTTATCGTTAGTTTTGTTTATTGTTTCTGTTAGACCCCCTTACCTTGAGATATTTAGCTAAATCTAGGAATTTGAATTTGATGTTCAACAGACAAACTTTGAAAATGAAGGAATTTAATTCTTGAATTTGATGTATTTTACGCCTAAAATAAATGTGATCCGGCTTAAATTTGAGACGCGGCTCAAATATAGTTGGTTCCACTTAATATCGTATTTAATGTTTCAAGATTTTAGCTGGTGCTCAATTGACAGCGGTTTTGGGCGGATTTGAGACGCGACTCAAATTCATTAAATTCGGACCTAGGTTTAGCTATCTCTGGACTTTCAGTAATATCTCTGAAATATTATTGATCTAGTGGAAATGAGGTAATAATGCTGGGGGGAGGGGACTCTAACTACCAGCTACTCTCATTAGTGGAAATATATGATTTATCTGAAGGATTCATTACAGAACTACCATCAATGCCTACTCCAAGGTATTGTTTTTACAGTCATATTTGTCATCTATATTTTATTTGTTCAAACTTCATATTTTATTCTTATATTTGCTGGTGTTTTAAATAGGTTTATTATTAATACATATAGAGTATGTAATCTTGGTTTGTTTTTATGTCCGATTATATAACTCATAAACCCCTTGACCGATTTATCATATTTTACAGCTAAAGCTAGGTTACCAATTAGTTATAAATAATATTTAAAACTTGATTATTTAGGATGTCCTTTGCTTGTTCGTATTTCAAGGAAGAGATCTGGGCAGTTGGAGGATACAATCGTGGTAGTCCTCTGGATACTGTTGAAATCCTCACAACTAGAGATGGGCAAGTTTCACTTTTTCCATTTTGTTTCTTTTTGCATTCATTGCGTTCGTATTCTCACTGGAAAATCGTTCAATAAAATCGTTTGTTCAATAAAATCGTTCGTTTTCTCACTGAACAGTTGTTCAGAAAAATCGTTCGTTCATTAAAAATTTTTTGTTCAGTATAAAAAACTATCTTTTTTCAAAATTTTATTTTAAAAATCATTCGTTTAGTAAAAACTATCGTTTTTTGGTAGTTTGTTAGAAATAATCCTTCAATCAGTGAAAAATGATTCGTTAGTTCAGTTAGAAAATAAATTTTATTCGATCTTTTCTCTGTGATATCCATTTTGTTCGGCTATCGTTTGTTTTTTTCTGAATGACCCCTCTTTCACGAAAAATTTTGTTTGTTCAAAAAAACGATGCCCATCTTTACTCAATCTCCATCAGCACCTGGAGGACAGGGCCTCATCTACTCAGACCTAGAGGTTACCTCACCATGCATGTTCTAGAGGAGGAGCTTGTAGTGTTTGCAGGTACAGAGGCCATACGGTTTTTTATTTCGTTCGTTCTAAAGACTGTCCAATACTGTTTAGCGTAATTTGAAGTGACCCTCCATGCACGGCATCCTTGAAACATTAATCTGATTAAAAATGTTTTTCCTGACTTAAAAGTGGTTATTTCAGTGAATTTCTCCATTGCTTCTCATAACCAAGAAACGCACAAGTCACTTTTGCAGAGAAACCACACTTGAAAATAAACAGTTTAAAGAAACAAAAACATGCATATAATCTATAATTCATACTTGATAAGACAAAGCTTTTAAGAGTGCCGTTGTGAATCAGAAAATGCCATCTTTGTGTGGAGGAGGGTCACTTGAAATTACGCATAGAGTCCCTTTAATATTATATTATATAACAGATAGGCTCAAAAGTAACTGTTTGTTTTTAACTAACTAACTTAACAATTATTTTGTTTCATTAATGGAATTTTTCAATTATCTTTGATACTTCATTTGTAACCATAAGATTTAGACATACATTTTTTTATCAACAATTTAACAGTAAATCCAGATTTTAAGGTTCAAAAGGTTTCATTCTAATTTTATTATTTTAATCTTAATTTTTGTGTGTTTTCCGCTGATAATTGGCGTTTCACTGTTTGTGTAATTTCTTTTGAGATCTAAATATTTATTATCTCCGTATCGAGATTATATTAATTGTACAAAATTGTTAACATGTATTAAATACAAATGTTTTACGATAATATTGTGTACATATATTCTTAAATTAAATAAAAGAAAATCGTACGGATACATTTTATGGTTTTTTATTTTTCCTTTAATTAGAAATTTGGATTTACGGATACTTGGATCCTGCAAGACATACAAATTGAAGAGTGTAGAGAATAAATTGCTTATAGTTAGTCGTTGACAAGGATTTTTTTGAGATTCATCTGCATATAACCGGAGCATTTAATGAGGAAAATCTGTTGAGCAAGCATCATAAAGTTTTTATGTAACAATGGTATAATGTCAATGAATGCAATATGGAAAAAACTACGATTGTACTGACAGAGAACATTGAAAGTTCGTCGTTAGTATGACATTACACTAGTTAAAATATATCGTCTTGATGCTAAATAGCCGACGTAATTGTGTAAAACGATATATTTGAGGTACATACTGGCGAGGAAAATTGATGGTTCCTTCCTGCATGTTCTTTTCTCTATGTAGTTAATAATCTACACAGCCAAAGTGGCGATAGCAGGCATCAAAATCAAGAAATGTTAAATTTAAAAAAGCTTTTTGGAGAAGCATTTAATTTCAATTGTAACAAGGACGCATTAAGCTTAAGAACTAGACTCACGTAGAACATTAGTTCTGCGCTACTGACTAGAACATTGGAGAGAGATTAATGTTTAACCTCTTCATTTCTCTCAAATAATCAAGGTATAGCAAGGTATGGTGCACATTTATATTGTGCAGGGATTTAGAGATATCAATGTAGCGTAGTTGTCTCCTCTTCTTGAGACATCATGATTTCTAGGTGGTGAGGTTTGACGGTTCAGGAGGCGTTGCAGCTTCCACAGACGTTATTATGTTTGTGTAATTTCAATGGGAGCCTCCATGCAAAGATGACAATGTTCGATTCACAACAGCACCCAACCTTTGTCTGATCAAGTATAAATAAGATATACTTTGTTTCTTTCATTTTTTTTACATTTTCAGTGTCTCTGCAGAAGTGATTTGACTTTGAGCAGTCCTTCTTGCTTATAAAAACCAATGGGGAAATCATCAGAATTAAACACTTTTAAATCCAAAAAAACATTTTTGATCAGATTAAAGGCTAGTGTTGTAAGGTATTACCATCATTAAATGGAAGGTCAAATTACGCTAACTGTCTCTTTACTGTTTTCTCTATATATGTTTCAGGATATAGGGGTGAGGGTAGTCTAGAACGGTATAATGGAGAAGAGTGGAAGGAAGAATCTATAAAATATTTCCATGGTGAACATGCCTCAGTCATCCTGCCATGCAATTAGGGGTATCATGGAAATAAATAATTGAGTTTAAATTGTCCTGTAGGTTTTTATAGAATAAACTTATTTTTTTAAGATACAATTTTTTCAACTAGGTTAAATACGACAAAATCTAAAATACTTTAAACGCAGTTTTATATTCTATACAGACTACAGGGTTAACCACAAAAGATGAGCCTTCAAAGGCGACTGTAGTAAATTTATACTAAATGTTCTTTTCAGAATTCTCTGCAACTGTAAACTGGCTTCTTTCTTTTCCCAATCAGTAAATAAGCCATTAAATACTATATTCAAGGCAGAAGACGTAATTTAAATTTGGAATCGTCATATTGCAAGTGTTTCCGGTCGTCTTTGCAGTCTTATCCTTACCATGCATTTCAAAACAAATTGTGAGGTAAAACCCTATTCAGGCTGACGACGGGTTTACCCAAAATTTTAAACACTTTTGGAAAGCCCTTTTAAAATCTGCAAAAGAATTTGCGAATATGCAAAATTTCTAAAAATTGCAATTTCAAGTTATTAGACAAAACATGTGCAAAAACCAAAAGTGCGCGAAATATGATAAATTATACATTTTTAAAAAGCCCTTATCACGACGAATTCAAATATGCAAAGATATTTGCAACATTTTAAAAAACTAAATTTGTTTTCAAGGAAAACTGAAAATATGCAAACTCTCTTTGAAGGCATCTGTCCAAAAATCTATGCTAAATTTCTCTCAGAAAATGTGCAATCTGCTTTCTTTTGTTCAAGGCTTTCCACAGAGCTATAAAAAGTCAAAATCCAATAACCAGAAGTAGGTCTAAATATAGATTCAGTCAGGTTAAGGTAAAATAAAGCATTCAGGCAGTATGCCTGAGAACTCAGGCAGTAGGTATAACAGCCCTGCTTTGACCCTAATTGGAGTGACATGTTTAAGTTAGAAAAGTAACAAAATTTGAACACCCTCTGACGCCCCCCCTCTCCCCGCAGCCGAAATATTATATTTCTAAATATGTGTATGTTTAGTTGAAATGTATGGATCAATGCAACAAATGTCTGTTAAAGATTTAGATATTTGGCAAAGAAATAAAAAGTTGCACAGCTGGAGAATCCATAAATGTAAGGCTAAAAATGTAGTCGCTAAACACTGTAAACTTTAGTTCATTTCATGTCCCGGTGTCACGTGATAAAGTGTCCAGGCGTGAAATAATGTAAGGGTACTCTATTTAGGTCTTAAACATCAAATTAAAAAATATCTGATTATGTTAAATAGATTCAATTACATTTTAAACGACTTTTTTTACATAATTGTTGCATCTGCAAGGGATAGAAAATCTGTACAGTACAAAAACAGGTAAACCGGGACAGTACGCCAAATGAATGATCCCCTCATAGTGAAATTATTCCTGTTTTTTTAGTTTCAAATTCTAATCTTTTACCCACCAAAATTACAGCCAACTTGGTATTCACAATCAATTATTCCAACTGACAAATATATATTTCAACACAAAAGGATTTCAACAATTAACAAAGCAACTAAAAAGGATTATAACTCAACCCGTGACAGTAAATTAGTTCCGTGTTTATCCGCAAGCAGTACAGGAGTTGCTTGCTTCAAATAAGTTCCATTTTTATCCGCATACAGTGAAGGTGGCGCCAGCAGGAGTGCATCCAGACAGAGTGATGAGGTATGTGGCTGAAATAATATCGATGAAAATAGTTTCAAAATATATTTTCCCCTTTTTCATATTAATTTGATTGTGCTCAGAGGCTAAATGTTAGGAGATTTCGATCCTTAGGTTCAAAATAAGAAACAAAATAAGGTGTATAGGTACTAGGTAGTGCAGTTGAGTCAATTTGACCCCCCCCCCTGTAGTTTTTTTACATAACTCAAAAAGTATTGGTCTGAGGCTGTTGAAATTTTCTGACTTTTCCTACATTCCCAAAGCCCTCCCTTCAGGCCTAAAACCAGGCTTTAATACAAACTGCCTGAGTCCTCAGGCACACTGCCTGAATGACTGCTTTTTCCTGTAACAAACTAAATCTTTGTTTTGACCCACTTCCACTTGTCAGTTTTTGATAAAATTTAGCTTTTTGGAAAGCCTTTGACATAAGGAAACCAATAGCACAAGTTTTACGAAAAAAAATTGCAAATTTTTTGCAAACAACCTGTCAAAGGAAATTTGCACATTTTTAGTTTTTCTTGATTCTTAATCAGGTTATTTAAAATTTTGCAAAAACTTTTGCATATTTGAAATGGCATAGTCAAGGGCTTTTCAAAAATGTATATTTTTTTATTTTTTGGACACATTTTTTTTGCAAACATTTTTACTATATAACTGGATTTTGCGATAAAAAATTCAATTTTTGCAAATTTGCAAAAATTTTTGCAGATTCTAAAAGTAGAGCACAAGAGCTTTCCAATGCTGTATCATTTGTCATATTTGGACATCAAACATGGGATTTAGAGGTGGGGTCAAATTGACTCTCCCCCTCAGCATATCCTGGTTTTCAAGTACCCCAGCAGAGATAGGGTTAAGGTCAAAGAGAATAGAATATATATTAGAGGGAAAATTTACTAGAAAAAAGTGTAAAACGGCCATTTTGTTGTACTGTTTCCATACTGCAGGTGTACTTCACATATTTATGCTATATAAAGATCATAATGTGAGAAGAGATCATACTGTGAGAAGAGATCATAATGTGAGAAGAGATCATAATGTGAGAAGAGATCATGTTCAAAATAAACATAAATTGCTTTTCCTACACTATAGACAAAATTAAAGGCAAAAAACGATCCAAAAACAAACCAACGGAATGCACATAACCAGATGTAGACACACTACCATGAGATTTTATTTATATGGAATTGAAATATTAAATGCAAGGTTAAATATTTACCTGTAAAACTAAGTGATGTTGATGTTGAGGTTGATGTACTGGTAGTTGTTGTGGTCATGTAGTACCAGAAGAATTTAGCATCCCGCTTCGCTCCGTCCTTGGGAGTTCCTGACTCAATGTTGTCAACTTCAACAGTGTCATCAACATTCCTGTATACAGTAAATACATTTATTCAGAGCTGAAAACTTTAGAATGAGATATCCTTAATCCCGATTACTTAATCTGAGTATCCAATGGACACACTTTTGATTTTCTTCTTAAACCGTTCTTTTCTGTATATAGTAGAGAAAAATCAAAAACCGGTTTTACTAAATTAGAGAGTTCCTCCCATTTCTGTATTTAATCTTAAATGGTGCGCAAAATTTCAAATTTATCGGCTTCATATTCGCGACTCTGATTGATTGAATTTTATACACTTTTCATTATAAAAGTACAAGATTAAGTTAGTCTCAATAATAGGAAAAAGAGAGGATCAAACATTAATCTCAAAATCCACCATTCTAAAGTTTTCAGCTCAGGAAATATTATTTTCTTCCATAAACCTCAAAACCCCTCTCTTACACTCCTATAGCTCAGTCCTATAGCAACCCCAAAAAATGGTATGTGAATAACAATCCCAATCTGATCTATTAAACACAAATTTTTCGCCTTTTTTCTATTATATGTTCTTTTGACGGTAAATGTGTTATAAATGAAAAAGATAAAAAGACAGCTCTGTTTGGCTAAAGAGTGTAAAATTATAAACCAAAACACGATTAAATTCAAATAAAAGAAACAGAACACATGTCACCATGGCTAGACCAGTTTATTTCATGTACCGGGCCGAATTTCAATTAGCCAGGGCAAGCAGTACAGTACAATTACAGACTATATGAGACAAAACGGGACTGTACGCCAAATGAATGATACTCTTCTAGCGAAAGGAATTGAGTTTTTGTCATAAACTCTGATTTTCTAATCCCTATATCTTTGCATTTCAATGTCAGAGACCTTAGATATTTTAAACTATGAATTGTTTTAGATCAAATAATAATAGTTTGAAATATCAAAGGTTAACACCATCAGGTTACAACGATATAGCGATTTGAAAATGAGAATTTGTGGCTAAAACTCAGTACCTTTATGTGTGGAGTGCTGAAATCAATAGTTTAAGTCGATAAGAAATGTTGACCATGAGATGGGGTGTTTCCTTTTATTATCCTATTACCTTTCAACTCTGCTAATTTCAATAGTATCCTCCGCATTTGTAATAGGATCATTGCTCAGTATCATTCTCCTTTTTCTACAAGCTTGTCTAGCAGCTGTCACTCTTAAAAGAAGATTTATAATTTCAACAACAATGTCAAGCTCCATTTATTGAACTGCGAGCAAAGATGGCAATGCCCGTGCCCAATTCACAATGGTATAGCCTTTAAAGCGTTGTCAGATCAAGTATGAATTTAATATCAATGTTTATAATTATTATTATTTTCCATTGTGGTTTCTCTTCCAAAGTGATTTACACATGTCTATACTGTAGGAATAATTTCAAATAGGGCATTGACATATTTACATGGAGGGTCACTTGACTAGACATTGGCGCATTAGACGCATTATTTCATTTTGTTCATTCATCGTTCATGAACAACCCATTTCGTTAGTCTTTTTTTTCATCGTACAAAAAAATGATGGAGTACGTTCTCAAAATATTCGTTTATTTTTCATCTATTTCGTTCATTTTTTCAATAAAATGGTTCATTCAGCAAAAACTAACGTTTTTAAAAATGAAATTAAAATAGGATAAATTTTAATTTTAATGGGCTGCCGTTGCTGAAAAATATCTAATATACTTTTTCTGACATAGGTACCATATGTTTCCGCTCGAATTCTAAACGAAAAATCGGCTTTTTTCTCCGGCCACAGTTGTCTTCGAAAAGTAAGACTTATACCAATCAACGGCAATTAGGCTGTTTAGTTTACCCTGAAATTACCCAAATAAGTGAACGGTCCCTTTACAAACAGGTTATTAAATTAACCTCAATGTTTAGGGAAATTAACGGAAATTTTATTAATTCTGTTATCCGTTAATTCAAATTACAAACTGCCTATGAATTACCTAAAAAATACCAATGTTTGTTAAATTTACATAGTATAAAATTAGTTGGAAAAAATCTTACGCAAAACATGTTGTTGTTGTCTGCAAAATAGATGTTGTTGTTGAGACTGTGGTAGATGTGGTAGAAGTTACTAAAAATAGTTTTCCCTTCCTAAAATTGAAAACTTCAAGGATTAAATTAAAATAAAATAAAAAGTTTTTAAAATATTATTTTTTAACCTGTCATTTTCTTCAGATCCTGATACACCGAGAGTAAAGAGGGTTAGCAGCAATAACTTCATTTTCTAAAAATTCGTTTATAGAAAATGCGAAAAAACGTTCTCAATAATTTCGTGGATCTGAGCAAGCGTTTAAAAAAATGCAATGTATTTTGAATAAAATATTTAAGACTTACAAGAGTTCTCATATTGGGCGGACACATCAGTAATATTGGGCGGACATATCAGTAATATTGGGCGGACATATCAGTAATATTGGGCGGACATATCAGTAATATTGGGCGGACATATCAGTAATATTTATGAAATCCACGAAATTTACAATAAGCTACAGTTTTGCATCGCGCAAAGTATATAGTACACATTTGCAGAATATAATTAACATTAAAATTAGCAAACTTCATGTCTCTCCTTTTCGCGGGACATGGAATATATAGAGTAAGAACCAGTGTTAAGCCATTTCGAAAGTCGTCTTTGTTTCAATAAAAAAAAAATAAATAAAAAAAAATAAAACATTTTGTATTTTAAAAGGTTAAGCAAATATCTCTAATTTTCATATATATATATATATCACAATTTTCATATTCATGACAGTACCTAGTTAAAAGTCTTGATAAAGACGACTTTTGTTTTGCATTTTACTGTATATGGCAGTAAAAATTTACAGTGATGCCCACAAAGAATAGGGCTTTAATTAGGACAATGATAGAAATCTAAAAACTGGTTTACATAAAGTAATTATGATGATTTACTTATAGCTTCGATTTTACGATATATTTCTGTATTTTTTGTTTAAAGTGGTTTTGAAACTATTTTTTTTGCATAATTTGTACGTATTCTCAAGTAAGCCTTCCTTTTAGAGTGGCATGTCCAATTCACATCAGTACCATTACAAGCTTTTCTTTTTTCAGAATGGATAAGATATGATTTCCCTTAAAGGGACTGTAAAGGAAAAATGAAAGGGGGTATAGGCAGAAACCTGAGAATCTCAGTCGTTGAACGATACCTATAAGACATCTATCTGATGTTCCTGTCTCGAGAAACTGTGCCAAAATTTTACCAAAACTTATATATGTAAGATATACGTCCGTATCAGGTGACCAGAACTCCCTCCAATGGAAGTCGAGTATACTGGTCACGTGATGCAGACAGAGTTAGATGAAACTAATACTGCACTGCCTTATTTCCTTATTGTGATGCAATTCTTTAACATTTTATACACTTTTAGAATGCCCTTGGGCTCTACTTTAATAATCTGCAAAATTTCCAATATGTATTGCAATTTCAAGTTAAGAAACTGTAAAGAAAAAAAAAAGAAAAAAGGGGATATAGGCTGAAAGCTAATCACTTTAGCTCTTGATCGCGACGATATCCGGTGTTCCTGTCTCGAGAAATTGATATAAAACTGTGTCAAATTTATACGAAACTTCATATATATACAATTTTGTAAAGACAGACAGAGACACGTGACCACTATATTGCACTACCATTGGTTGGAGTTTTGGTGACATGATCCTAACGTATAAATAGTATTTTCAAATATATCTATTCAAAATGAAACATTATTAAATTCAAATAATAATAATAATAATAGGAGCAAACATGAGTTTCTTTGGCTCCTATGGGATATCGTTGTTTTCAGATTGGTTGCGTATTTGTTAAATATGATCTGTTTAATACTTTGAATCTTATACAAAATCTTTTGTTATACTTTTGACACAGCTTTATATCAATTTCCCGAGACAGGAATATCAGATAGAACTCTTATGCAGGGTGTCACACGAAACATGAAAGTTGGTGAAAAGTTTAAAATGTCTTCTTCCATAGTTTTTTAAGTTGTTTGAACCCCAAGAGAATAATATAAAAAATTTTATGCCAGCCATATTGTAGTAAAATTGATTTTAAAGTAAAATATATTTAAATTAAAACATTTTAAAAACTAATACAGTATATAGAAGAAGACATCCTAAACTATTCACCAACTGTCATGTTTCGTGGGACACCCTGTATGTCTCAATCAACTCCTGAGATTCTCAGGTTTCAGCATATACCCCCTTTAGTTTTTCCTTTACAGTCTCTTTAAGAAAGTAGTTTTTTCTTCACAAAAGTTACATGAGGAAAGGTTTGAAAACATCGATGTGAATTGGACCTATCCCTTTAAAATAGAGGGTCACTTGAAATTCTGTCAACAGTCTTTTTAAAGAGTAAGAAACACTTACCATGGCTGACCAAGGACTGATTTCAAGTAGTGTTTTCTTTCAATATTTATAAACTTATTTTCCCTTAACCATCATACATGATCTTGATTCGCTTTCCATCATGATTAAGCAGAAATATTGTGTTTAAAGGATGCAAAATAATAAAGTAGTTTGTCAAGGGAAACCTTGCACGGGTAATTAATTTTAATTGTTTTTGTTATTTAGACATGTAGTCAAACATTAGAATGACAGACGTTTCATCAAGATTAACTCTTTTACTAATTTCTAAACATACAATATTTTCAAATATTTAATACTATTATTCGTAGGTCTACGAAATTTTCAAAATATTTAGAATATTTACAGTTTGAATTTACTTTTTGTATAGTATCAGTGCATAGTGTGTAATACAGTGAACAATGTGTGTGCAGTTTACAATGAAAATGACAATAATAATAATAATAATAATAGTACTAATAATAATAATAATAATGATAATAATAATAATATTAACAACAATAATAATAATGATAACAATGATGATAATAATGATTATAATTATGATAATATTATCTAGAAACTCTCCCACAGTAACCCAGAGTACTGAACTCCAGTGTGTTGAGAAGGGACGGAAACCTGTAATACTTGATGATGAAGGGGTTCAGGTGATGGGAACTGTTGGTCCATACCGTCTCCGACAACCTCTGATCCTAGTCTGTGTCGGAGAAGGTGATCCTCCCCCGGACCTGGTCTGGTTAAGGGACGGAGAGGTTTGGGACGCAGAGATGGATCCGGGTGTATCTAAAGAGCACAGACAGAGGAATACTTTGGTTATCCCGTCCTTGGGCAGAGAGTTCTCAGGAAACTCATTCTCTTGTGAGGTAGGACTAATGTAAAATATATCTGCCCATTTTCAAGAGCTTCAGACCTCTATTTTTGACACAATCTCAAATTTTCTGATGGTGTTGCAATGATATTGCAATGAGTTGGAATGATACAGGGATTAGAAAATTTTAGTTTGTGGTGATTCTTTGTCACTCCTAAGACCATCTGAACATGAGCCTTTCAGAATTTGGACTTACATCTTTAATATACGTTCATAGTTAGAGCTCCTTCAATCATACATGTAAATAATCAGCTGATAGCCTATACTTATTAATCAGCTGATAGCCTATACTTATTAATCAGCTGATAGCCTATACTTATCATGTTGAAGTGTTTTCTAAATGACTGGATCGAATCACGTATGCTCAGAATTCAAATTTTATGGTTCTACCTTTTTCAGAAGTTTTTGAACAGGTTCTCCTATCCTATCCTATCCTATAGTCTTCTCATTTTTAAGAGAAGGTTCTTGTGGGTTTCAGTCAGTGAGTTTTAATAAGGATCAATCTTATTTCATTCACGCTTTAAAAACTTTTCAATATGAATATCAAATTTGACTAAAAATAAACATATTAAATATTTTGAGATAAAAATATGTTAATAATTTGTCGAGAAATGTGTATATTCATCATTGTTTTAATGCTTTAATTCAATTTTTCAAAATATTGAAAATTACTTAACGTTAAAAAAGTGTAAAAGGAATAGAGTTTTTGCCACAAATCCCAATTTTATAATTCCTTTATCTCAACAACCAGATGATGCATACCTTTCATATTTCAAACTTACATTGTTTGATCCACCAGAATTCATAGTTTGAAATATCTACGGTCTACGACATTTGGTTTTAAAGAAATTGGGTTTTAAAAATCCGAGTTTGTGGCAAAGACTCAGTTCCTTTGATAGAAAATGAAAGCTTTCTTTTAATAGAAAAGTTTCGGATAAACATTATAAAAACCAAAACATGAAAGTTACAAAATTATTAATAATAATGTGATTTTACCTCTCTAGGCCAATAGTAAACGACTGGCTGAGAAACCAGAAACAACTGTGATAGTGAGCATTCATATGCCGGTCCAGGATACACGGTAGGGACAAAAATCAAAACTAGGTGTTTGAAATCTTATTTATTTTTCCCATTTTATAGATTACTTAACCTTCCATCTCCTCAGACCGCTGGAACTACTTATGAAGTTCTCTGTCAGGAAATTATTATTTAAAGCAAGACGAGAATTTTAATAAAGTTTTAATTATTTCTGAGTATTTCTTGATTGCAATTAAACTTTCTTGGACTTGGTTTGAATAATTAACGGTTTAGGCAACTGGTTCCTCTCCGTCTCCGTCCTTCTCCTGGTTCTTGGTGTCTCCCTCCGGGCAGAACCAGAGTCTAGACGGGAGTTCAATACAGGACTCTTTGTCAGGAAACCTAACCGTCTCCAGGTTAAATATTACGGTGGAGAAGAATGATCATGAGTCTAAGATACTGTGTGTTGCCACCAATCCCATCTTTCTCCCTGTCACCGCAACGGCTAAACTCATCGTCAACTATCCTCCCGAGGTTGAGATCTATATCCCCAGTGATGTTTCTCCGGGTCGGTTGGTTGAGGGCTCTGACTTGAACCTTGAATGCAAGGTTGACTCCCGTCCTCCTCCAACCCGGTTTCAGTGGTTCAAGGACAATGAGATCATTTCTGAAGAGCAAACCTTAGGACTGAAGAACGTACAACCTGAAAACAGTGGAACGTATCGTTGTATTGTAGATAATGTGGAAGGCAGTGGAGACAGTGACCCGGTTCGTCTCTCCGTCCTATACCGTCCTACCTGCACCAACCCAGAGATATTACCGCATAGAATGGAGTCTGATGAAGATACCCCTGGAGTAGATTTAAGATGCCAAGTTGATGCCAAACCTGCCGCTAGATCATATCGTTGGTTTTTCAACAGCAGTGGAGGAAGTTTCGAGATTCCGTCTGCTAAACCTTTGATGAGCTTCATGAACTATGCTGTTAGCAAGAGCGGAGATCAAGGGAAGGTTCTCTGTTGGGCAACCAATGATGTAGGAGTACAGAGTGAACCCTGTGTTTTCCATATTGTACCACTAGGAGCTCCGCATCCCCCCGTAGATTGTGATATATCAGATCGTACTCCGGGTTCAGTAGAAGTTGCCTGCAAACCAGGGTTTAGCGGAGGACTGGAGCAACACTTCATTCTTCAAGTTTTTGAAATGATCAACGGAACCCAAACCTTGGTTGCATCCAACTGGAGTAGGACGCCTATTATGCGAGTAACTGGACTCCAACCCAACACGTCCTACATCCTGGCAGTCCATGCTGGTAACGACCGGGGAGAATCTCCGACAATGTTTGTTGGTGGACAAACTGAATCCTTTCTTCCTCGTCTCAAGCATCCGTCCCCTGACCGTTTACCCGTTCTTTACATAATAGTAGCGGTTCTCTGCTCGGTTATGTTTTTAAGTATTATTCTCTCCATCACCGCCGCTTGCCGCCGCCATATGATGATGAAAAGGGAGAAAAATCTGACTCAAACCCAACCAATACTTGGTAATTACAGTGAGAAGACCGATAGTGAACAATCTGAACCTCTCATGAAACGAGATCCTGGAAAACCAATAGAGAGAAAAGTAAGTTTCCGAGATTGTTCTTGCTCCAGGTCCCATCGGTTAATGAGCAGCGTCAGTAATGGAACTTTAAATGGAACCAGGACTGACAGTCGGAACCTGCCTGTTCAGAAAACCATAGTTCGATCCTACTCTATAGGTTCATATCAATATTAGAATTGAATTGTACCTTCTCTGTATCTATATGAGAGCGGGACAAGTTTCTGGAAAATATTTTTATAACATTTGCCAATGACTTTTATGATTTTTACTCCGAGAAAACATCTAATTTAAACAGGGGTTCAGGAGTGAACACGGGGGGGGGGGGGTTGGTATAAAAACCCATATGTTTTCAGATTAATAATTTTGATTTCTGATGTTTCTGTTTATAATTATTGATATGTTTAATCAGATAAACTTCGAGCCCGCTGCCCTACGTGTAATCCTTCAGGAAACATAGCATATCCGCCCAACAGCCCGCCAGAGACAACTGGCGGCAAAAACTATAACAAATCCGGCGGAATCATAAAAGTTGACTCCTTAGGAAGTTTTTAATGAAAAGAACAGAGTTCTGAGAATGAAGATATAAAAACCGATGAGTATTCAAACCTAAACTGTATTGTAATGATCTGTCAATGATTCATCGTTTCACATTTGAAATATTTCTAGACTTTCGACGAATAGACAAAAACTATTTTCCCGACATTCTTTTCAGTACGCGTAGGGTCAATTTCTTCTTTTTAAGGTGCCAAAGTAGAAATGTCAAAGAAACAAATATACAACAAAAAATTAAAACCAATACTCAAGTCCTCGTATATAATTTTTATTAATAATGTAAAAATATATTACTTTTAAATGCATGATCTCCTCTAATGATATTTAATAAAATAAATTTACGTGAAATATTTGTAATTTTTTATTGTCTAACTTTGTAGATACATTAAATTGTCCTGCTCGTGATTTGAAGTTTAATATTTGTTGCTTGAACGCCTTGAAGCGCTGAAAAACTTGAAATTATATTTCTAGAACAAAAATTGGCGATGATAGGAAATTAATGATGTTTCAGATCTGAGTTGATCAATTATTATGAACAATCCAAGATATTGCCATCCCTCCCAACCCCATAATCTTCTCCTTCTTTTCCCCCCTTTTATCTTTTCCTCTCCCCCCTCTTCTTCTCCCTATTCTCATCCTTTCCTCCTTGCTTCTTCTTCTTCCCTCTTCTTGGCTTCTCTCCTTTCCGTCCCATTTCTCCCTTTTTACCATATTCCTTCTTTTTTCTCACCATACCCCTCCATTTTCCTCATTCATTCCCCTTCCTTTTCCTCCCCCCCTTCTATATCCCCCTCCCTCTCCCTTCCTTCTCCTCTTTCCTTTCTTCTCCCTTCTGCCCTCCCACTTCATTCTCCTCCTTTTCCCATCTGCCGGTCGTTAATCTAATTTATAAATTACAAATATATTAGATAACGATAGCTTAATTTTATGAGACATTAATTTTATATAATTTTTAACGATAGTTTCGTTAAAATGGAATCCCCCCCCCCCTCCATCTTGTCAGTAAATTTCCACGTTAACCTTGCGTGTACTGGCTAATTGAAGGATTTGTTTATCCTGTATTCCGATCTTGGGTTCTCAATCATCAATGTTAAAAAGATGACATGGAAGGATCAGGGAGAGATCGTTCCAACCCTGGAGTTCTAATTATCCCTAAGAGAGACAGTTCTCAGGTCTCTACTTGAGTCAGGACAATAAGTTCCTTTATTCAAAACTTCTCAACTACGGACATGTTACACACCTACCTCCCCCCCTCCCCCATTCTAACACATTCATACTACTCCCCCCCCTTCCTCATCACCTTCTGAACTCCTCGCGTCGGCTTCTCTTTCCATCTTTACATTGAAATCAACTTGTAAATTTTAAAAAGGATTCTGTTGAGTCTTGACATTGAAACCAAACGACTTTTCATTGAAACCAACTAGTTCTTCTTTATTTAAGAACACTGGAACCAAATAACTTCTGTTGAAACCAACCAATTTTTCTTTACATCAAGACACCAACCAATTTCTGTTTACAATGAAATTAGACGGTTTCAATTTTTACATCGAAATGGGACGGATTCATTTTACGTTGAAACCAACCTGGATTCTCTTACACCGAATCTAGATCTATATAAGGCAGTTCTTTTTTAACCCCCCCCCTCTCTGTTTTAATCCTCCATTTTTCTCCTTTAATCCTCAGAGTCTCTCCTCTAATTCTCGCTTCTCTCCTTTAATCCTCTCCTTCTCTCCTTTTATCCTCCCCTTATCTCCTTTAATCCTTTCCTTCTCTTCATTAATCCTTTTCTTCTCTCCTTTAGTCCTCCCCTTCTCTCCTTTAATCCTCTCATTATCTCGTTTAATCCTCTCCTTCTCTCATTTTTTTCTCCCCTTATCTATTTTAATCCTTTCCTTCTCTCCTTTTATCCTCCGCTTATCTCCTTTAATCCTCTCATTATCTCCTTTAATCCTTTCCTTCTCTGCTTTAATCCTCTCATTCTCTCATTTAATCCTCTCCTTCTCTTTTTTAGTCCTCCCCCTCTTTCCTTATCTCCTTTAATCCTCCCCTTCTCTCCTTTAGTCCTCCCCCTCTCTCTTTTAATCCTCCCCTTATCTCCTTTAATCCTCTCTTTCTCTCCTTTAATCCTCCCCTTTTCTCCTTTAATCCACTCCTTCTCTCCTTTGATCCTCCCCTTCTCTCCTTTAATCCTCCCCTTCTATACTTTAATCCTCCCCTTCTCTCCTTTAATCCTCTCCTTTTCTCCTTTAATCCTCCTCTTCTCTCCTTTAATCCTTTCCTTCTCTCCTTTAATCCTTCACTTTTCTCCTTTAATCCTATCCTTCTCTCCTTTAATCCTCCCCTTATGTCCTTTAATCCTCTCATTATCTACTTTAATCCTCTTATTATCTCCTCTAATCCTTTCCTTCTCTCCTTTTATCCTCTCCTTCTCTCTTTTAATTCTCTTCTTCTCTCATTTAATTCTCTCCTTTAATCCTCCCCTTCTCTCCTTAAATCCTCCCCCTCTCTCCTATAAACTACACAAACATAGAATATTGGGAATAATAAAGACGGACTCAACTGTGACAGATGTGACGAATCTTTTAGACACGCAACATCATATCTTCTATCGCCAAGGTGTGTAAAGGAAAGGTAGAAACTATTAAGCTTACGCAAAAGGAATTGAGTTCTTGCCACAAACTCTGAAACCGTATATCATTCAATTCCAATTTCGTAGACCTTAGATGTTTCAAACTATGAATTCTGTTAGATCAAATGATATAAGTTTGAAATATCAAAGATGTACGACATTGGGTTCCAAAGATAAAGGGATTATATAAATAAATTCAGAGTTTGTGGCAAAGACTCAATTCCTTTCTCTTCGACTTATCTTAATGTATTCCCAGTTATTTGTAAAAAAAACTTTCCAGAGAAGAAAAATTGTGTTCCTTAGCCTAACATTGGACTAATCCGACTCGTACTTCGCATATATTCTCAGTCTAAAACAAAAACTAAAAATAAAATAAAATTATACCACAGCTATTTTTTTCTGCAAGATGGAGTGGGATAATCCACCAAAAACCGTAAAAATGTAAAAAAAAATTCAGGATTTTTGCAATTATTACTTTTTTACTGTAGCTAGAAACAATCCCATTGTGGTTCTAAATTCTACATGTCCAGGGTTGTAAACGTGAGTGAGTAAGTTAAAAAGAAATATCAAGGCTACGTAACAATTAAAAACCGACCCAGTCTTGAAAATTGATGTACAAATTTTATAGCTGTCTGGATTTCTGTGATATAGTTTTGGTGCGATTTTATATTTCAGCTACACCGCTGTTATTTAATGACCTAGACCTATCTAGCCGATCCAAAGAATATCTATAAAATATTGGGTTTACTTTAGACCTCACAGATTTAGAAGATAGGACAATAGAGACGTCATGTTGTTAGAGTTTATTTAATAGATAGGACAATAGACGCCATGTTATATGCCATGTTGTTATAGTATATTTAATATATAGGACAATAGACGCCATATTAGACGCCATGTTGTTATATTATATTAGATATATAGAACAATAGACGCCATGTTAGACGCCATGTTGTTATAGTTTATTAAATATATAGGAGAATAGACGCCATGTTTTTATACTAACCTTAAAACCTTAATCAATATAATGAAAGATATCATAATTTTCTGGCTTGAAAAGTGACCAATTCTGATATTTTCTCCCCTGTCTTTGAAGCCAAATATACGCCAGTCACTTTTTCAGAGAAAACTAAAACGAAAAAAGACAGTTTTCAAAACAAAACCAAAGATGTCTAATTCATACTTGATCAGACAATGCCTTAGAGGTTACCGTTGTATATCGGACATGCCACTCTATCGATGGAGGGTCATTTGAAATAATGTTTACAGTCCCCTAGAAACATTTCCTCTCTTAAAACTGAAGAAGAAAAAATTTCGTTTCCTTTAAATCCCACTTTCTCATTCAACAACAAAATTACGCACGGTCCTTTCTGTATAATCTGTGTCCCAGTGACTCTTGTTGAGCTAAAAATGACGATATATGTTGAGGAGCGTGAAGAATGCTACATAAATATATATATATATATATACAATATATAGTGGATACAGTTCATATATTTAGTATCCCACACCTGCCAGCAGTCCTTCAATCCTGATCAGTTTAAACTCATTGGATAATAATAATATTAATATTCAAGGGAAGGGGTTATAAGAGATTTAGGATGATCTACCTATGGAGGGGGTAGAGGGAGTGTTTTAATACAGAAGTGTTTTCGATATTTTACAAAGAAAGGAAGAAATTTTAAAGCTTAAGGAAGAAAAATCAAGTTCTGAAATGAAAAAAGTGAATAAATCAGGATTTAAAAAAGAAAGAGTTTGCATAGTAAGAAAAGATTTTTAGGAACTACCCCATTGAAAGCTGAAAACGGAAAACTGAGAATGAATGAGACGGATTGAACAATGAGCACCTTGTTGAGAGAACCTTGTTGTTGCACCAAACTCCGTGACTAGTGAATACACCTAGAGAGAACCTTGTTGTTGAACCGAACTCCGTGACTAGAGATAACCTTGTTGTTGAATCGAACTCCGTGACTAATGAATTCACCTAGAGAGAACCTTGTTGTTGCACCAAACTCTGGGACTTGTGAATACACCTTTAGAGAACCTTGTTGTTGCACCAAACTCCGGGACTTGTGAATGCACCTTGAGAGAACCTTGTTATTGAACCGAACTCCGTGACTAGTGAATACACCATAGAGAGAACCTTGTTGTTGAACCAAACTCTGGGACTAGTGAATATACACCTAGAGAGAACCTTGTTATTGAACCGAACTCCGTGACTAGTGAATACACCTAGAGAGAACCTTGTTGTTGAACCGAACTCCGTGACTAGAGAGAACCTTGTTGTGGAACCGAACTGCGGGACTAAGATAAATGATATTTACTTCTCTTTACTCCGTGTTCTGCTAATTATACATATTCTTCTCACCAGTGTCAATCTCAAGCTGTTCAATACAATTCTACAAATGACAAATACATGCAAGCCTGATGCACATTGCGCGCCCTATATATATATATATATATTCATCATGCTCGTATATATGGAATACATTCACTTTAAAACATTTTCAGTTCGCATAAAAGATGTAATATACAAACCAGAGCGTTGAAATTAATTAACAAATAAATATTGAATAAAAAACATGTTTAACTGTCGAAGTTAATCAAAGTCCAGAAGTAACAAAACACAGGTTTCTTTTACTTAGCATCATTCGACTTTCAGAATGTTATAGGAACTGAGTCCGAATTTAATGAATTTGAGCCGCGTCTC